TTTCTCTCAGGTATTTGTCGTAGGAACGAAAAAACTGGCTAACATGCCCCATCTCTTCAAAAATAAAATAAAGTGAGTTTTAAAAAGAGAGACAAGTGAGTAAAGAGCCTGTTAGCCTTGAGCATTCACTAACTGTGTTGACAGGGATTATATGTCTCTCTTCCAGTTTTTCAGCAATAAAAGGTAAGTGTTATAATTAGTAGTAATCACTTAAATAAAGAAGTGTTGAACAGTAATTTTTGACTTAACTTTTGTGCAGTGTCCTGTCTATTTCTCCTTCATACTGTGAGAAGAGCGTTCCTGCCAGCCAGCAGTGTCCTGGTTAAGGACTCGGTGAGGGATCACAGCTTTCCAGTTGCTGTGCACCTGCACAGCTGCACTCCTGTTATGGTGGCATAAAATCCACGTTTCCACTTCCTCCTTGCACACAAAAGGCAACCGAGACTCAATCGCGTGTTCATTTTTGTTTTATTTGACCCGCATCCTCTTTTCAAAGGACCCCAGGCTGGGAGCTGCTTTTAAAGCCTTCCCTCCGGCTGGCCTTTCTTCTGCTCCCCAATTCCCTGAAGGCACCTTTTTCCCCCCTGTTTCATCTCCCTCCTTCTGCTGCAGACTCGTACCTGCTTAGGGGCTGCTCCTGGCTGGGGCCACAGCTTCTGCTGAGGGATCCCTAGGGCCATGAGGCCCTTTCAGGTAAGGCCAACAAAGGCAGGAAGGAAGTGTTGGGTGCCTCTGTGTTTGACTCTCAAAGTGCAGTCAAGATACAGCCCGTGTTCCTTCTGCCCAGAGGGGCCGTTACCCCCGATCTATAAAGGAAAGGAGCCCCTCCACCTTTCCAGGGAGCTCAGAGTGCTTCTGAAGCCCTTGGTGCTGTCTGCCACTGGAAAAACACCTAGTGCTCTGAGCCTCGTTGAACTTGTCACAAGTCAGTCCATTCCGAGCTTCCCACCTTGCAGGAAGAGAGCAGATGCTCATGTGTTCAAACCCCCATGATCTGAAATTGAATTTCCTTTCTCTTGGGCAACCTCAAACCTTCTTAGACAAGAAAGGGCCTCTGCAGCTTAAATTGTGGACGCCCTGGCTCCTATGAGGCCAAGACACTGAGAAAGGGGAGGGGGCTTCCTCCTTCCCGCTGGCTCAGGGCCGCCCCCTGCAGAAGTCAGTGAGTGGTTCTTCTAAGACCCCTTTGGAGCCGTCCTTGGGCAAAGCCATTTTACAGGAGTAGGTATTGAGGATCAGAGAATTAAGGAAATTTCTTTTGAGTTCAAAGTGAGGATTGGTTTGAGTGGATATGGGATTGGGGATAGGGCAGTGGAGGAAGAGGATCACACTGGGGTGGTGGGGGTCCCAGTGTGGCTCAAGCACACATGTAAGGAAGTGGAAAGTCTTTGGATTTTGCCATTAAGGAAGAAGCAATGCAGTGCCTTCTTCCAACAAGTGTCCAATAAGTGTTGCTCCCTGTCTTCTTGGCCAGGAATTCCACAGGGAAGAACACCTGGGATATCCCCCTTCCCTCCAGCCTTGACCTTCTCACTAGCTGTTTCACTAGCTCTGTGTCCTATAGTCAGAGAGGGGTCCAGCCCGAGGCAAATGCCACATCTTCTGTGTTTGTTTCAACAACTCTGCTGTTCCAGACAGGACTAAGCTGAGCTTTTCTTGCAAATATTGATGGAAGCCCCAGAGAGGAACAAGAAAACAAAGAATGTTTTATTTATGATAGAAAAAGAAACCAACAGGAAAAAAATTCACAGGCCCAACAGGAGGGGGAGAAAGTTTAAATAAACCGTGATATATTCACTCAATGGAATATTGTGCAACTGTTGAAATAATGCTTACTGAGAGTTTGTAATAACACGGGAAAATGCCTGTTCTAAAATGCAGTGAGAGAGGAAGCAACTAAATTGTATACTCAGCATAATGACAAGTAGGTAAAAATCAAGCCAGACAAAGACCATACATAGAAGGGAAGACCAGAGAGACATGCACTCCAGCAGGGGATGTCTTCAGGTGGCAAAAGCAGAGAGGTGTTTTTTTATATTATTTTTTGTTATTTTCCGATTTTTTTTTTCTATAATGAGTATGACTCGTTTAAAGAGAAAACTTTTTTTTTTCCTAAAGAAGAAAGAACTCTTCCTGGCAAATCAAGACCAAAGATTCACAGAAAGCCAAGTGACACAGAGGCCACTCTGAGGCTGACAGCAGAAGGTTAAAAGGGCCCAGGCTATTAAACAAAGTCAAGTGGAAATCCTAGACTCTGAGCCCACAAAGCGACATCGGCAGGTCGATACCCAGCTGCACACTTGGGCACAGGGTCTATGACATCCAGGTAACGATGTTGGCTTGCTCTCCCCTCAAATGTGTGAACTCAGTTTCTTACTGGGGAATGCAGCTTGTTTCTGTACAAGGAGTCTGACTTATAAATGGTGGTGTAATTGAATTCTTTCTCTTACACCACGGCTAAACAAGCGTGGTGTGGCCCCTGCCTTTCTTCTACACCAAGATGGTGCTCCTTGGAAGCAGTTCTGGTGTGGCAAAGCACTTCTTCTTCTGGTCACACTATCTAAAAGAGCAGGTCCCTCCCCTGTCATTCACCTGCCCAAGTCCCTGCCTTACCTTTTCCTTAGCCACTCTTGTGGGTTTTCTTTCTTTCTGTGCTCATTTTATGAAATTGTGAGCTCCACTGGAACAGGGATCTGCTGCCTTGCCAGCCCCAGAGCAGTGCTCAGTCCAAACAGACAGCACATGTTTCTTTTACCAGTGAATTGATGACCATGTTCCCAGGTGGTCTTCCCAGTTTCCACCATGATGGCCTCACCACTTCCATCCCTAAACCCAGCTCCTGCGATCTAGGCACAGTGATGATCGACATACCAGCTCCAATCTATTGATTTTGACTGCTGGAACACTGTGTGGAAACAGTTCTGACACCATTACCAGGGCTCATCAGGAAAAGGTAGGGCGATTGATTACTGAAGGGAGGTATATCAGACATACGGCTAATTTCGGCCAACCTCAGTTCTCCTTCTTATTGTGAAGACCACACCCACCATTAACATGGGTCTAGAACAAATTTTACTGCCTCCTCCCTGCAGTCACTGGCCTGGTCCCTACCATAGGTGTGCAGTGGACTTCTGAAGGTTTTCCTAGAGTGGACCCTCATGCCTCCTGGGGCTGGAACCTTCCCTAAACCTCACCCAGTTTGGTTGTGGTCTTATTCTCTGCCTGGCTCCTCCCTGGGGACCTGCCCTTGGGCCTGGACCAGGCTCTACCTACCTCCTAGCTCCCAAGTGGGATCACCTCCCAGGTACACTCTTCTCCAATCTGGCACCACAATGCCAGTGCCTCCTTTGAGTCTCGTTACTGAAGCCATCCTTCTCCTGTCCCTGGATTCCTTGGAGGTTCATGTCTGAGTATTGAATGTGGCCATGGATGGAAGTGGAGGCTTTTCTTCCCAGGGGTCAGACGTAGAGCAAGCTGGCTTTTCTTCCCAGTTTTCGATTTAGGAATAAACTCAGCTGTCTCCTTTCCCTAGGCCCTCAGCCAGGAATGGTGACCTTGTGTGGCCTCTATACAAGCTCTCCTCTCATCTCCATGCCAATCTCCTCATTTTCTGCTGTAATCCAACATCTTCCAAAATGACCCCCAGCTTCAATCCCAGCAGCTGTGTGTTCACAAGCTCCTCTGGAGACCCCCTGGGATTTGGGAAAGCATTATAGGGACACTGAGGTCCAAAGCATTGCTACCTTCTGTTCATCAGGACCTGTCACCGTAGGCCTCCCACCCCCTGCTCCTATCTGGGACCAAGAATATTTCTGCTTTCCTTCTAGCTTCTGTACACCGCCCCCCTCCCCCGCGTAGAGATGGAAACAAGGACCAGTCTCTCTGCCCTCCTTCCTGAAAGAACAGGCACCTTCCTGAACTGGGTCTCCTCTGTTTCAGAATGTTCTAAATTCCATGTGGAAGGAGAGCCAATGTTGGGTGCTCCACTAGGACCGTCTAGTTGCTCAGTAACGTCGAGGGCCTGCTGCTCCCCAGTCCTCCCCTGTCTGGTGAGGCAAACTAGGTGACCATGTGGCTCAGGGAGGGAAATTATGCTGTCCCCTCCCAGCAGCCCCAAAGCACTGCCTGGGCATGGCTTCCCTGGCTTCTAGACAGGAGGGCTGAGTCTCTCAGGAGTCTGAGATCTTGGAAAGAATGCTGTGGTCAGGCAGCAGTGGACGTGAGCAGGGCTCAGGAGGAAGGTGGCCTTGGACCACATCTGTTCCTCCTTCTCCTGAGAGCTCATTTAGAGACTTGTGTCCTTCATAGAGCTCTTGTGAAAATGGATGTTTCTCTTCCTCCCAGTACATAGAATTCCACATTAAAAAAAAATAATAAAGTGGGCGTTGCTAAGTTTACCCTGCAAGTGAGTCCCCATGGGCACCTTTAACTTCAGCTATTCTACCTCTCAAACCATTTCTCCTCTGGCTGAACGCCCCCTCAACTGGGATTCCCTGGGCTCCTTCCTGATCCTGCTGAAACCACCTCCCTTGATTTTCTCACCTGTACCCAGGTGCTTCTGGGGACCATAAAGGTTGGACTCTGTGACCAAAGTTTAGTAAGGGGCACTGGTGGCTCATAGAGAGCAGGCCCATCTCTAGAAGTGACTGGTTTGAGGGCTCCCTGGGGAGTCACCAGCCACCTGGAACTGTGGTTGTGATATGACTATAACTGAGAGTTTTGGTGGAGTCCTGTGATAGCCGCCTCCGCCAAAAATTCAGATTTAAAGGCAGGTGGTGGCCATCCCTGCAGACATGGATATCTTCCATCTCAGAACACTGATTTCTAGCTTTTTTTTCGGGCTGTGGGCCACAAGCCAGTAAAGGAAGTAGGTTTAGACTTCCCCTCTCTATAGCCCAGTTCCTACCCCCTCCCCACTGCCCAGAAATGACCCCCGGGAGCCACGGGCAGGGGGTGTGCTCTGCCTCCCGGGTTTTCATGAAGAGCCCAGCAGAAGGCTGCTAGACCCTGGTCTGAGGCACATCAGGGGCAGGCAAGGTGAGGACAGTGGGCAGGAGGGTGCCCCGTGGAGACGGGAAGCTCTGCAGCTCCTTGGGCACAAACCTGGGTGAGATGTGGTCAGCAAGGAAGCAGAGCGTGTGCTGTCGGCCCACGCAGTAGATATGGTTGTCCACCACGGCGCACCGGAAGGCGGCCGGGTAGGGTGTCCTGTATGTGACACACTCATACCAGAGCCGAGTGCTGGCACTGCAACGGTACACGCCAATACCCCAGCTACGGCTGAGATCAAAGCGGTAGAGAAAGCCATTGACCGCCACCATCTCAGCCGTGCGGTCCTTGCTGCCCCCCGTGGGGCCGGCCCACCAACGCTGCTCCTGTGCAGAGAACCGAAGCAGCAGGTAGCGCAGGCTGCCACCTGTGACGAAGATCTCGTCAGCACACACAGTGGCTGTGTGTGCCAGGGCAAACGTGTCATTGGGGAGTGGCGGGGCAAAGGCCCAGCGGTCCAGGCGAGGGTCATAACGCTCGACAGTGTTCAGACACTCACCTCCAATAGCGTACAGGTACCCGTCCATGGCCACCAGCCGGCAGTGTGGCCGGGCCTGGTTCAGCGGGCACACCTCGCTCCAGATCCCCGTCAGGGGGTTGTAGCAGAAGACGCGGTTGGAGGGCTGGTGCCCCGGCCCCTGGCAGCCGGACACCACAAAGAGGTAGTTGAAGAGACTGCAGAGGGCACAGCCCCTGGACACAGCCTCGGGGGGCAGCTGAGCCAGGGGATGCCAGGTGTCCTGTATGTCATCATAGCAACAGAGGCGGCCACAGGCTTCCTGGGGGCACACGTCAGCCACCACCAGGCACTGGTGACCCTGGAACCTTCGCTGGAGTATCAGCTCCCGCTCTGCACCGCTCAGACACCCATAGATGTCCGGGCTGCGGAGCACCTGGAGATAGTTGTCACTCATCACCTTATAGGCTGCCTCCTTCAGGGCCTCCAGGTTCTGCCTCTTGGCCAAGGTCAGCACTTCATGGCAATTGCCTAGATCCAGGAGGACGTCTGGGGCTGAGGTGGGGGTGAGTGGGATGTGGAAGAAATTGGTGCCTGCCACGAGCTGCGTGTGGGGCTCCCTGCTGCTTCCAACAGCGTTGTGCTGGGTACACTGGTCCCGGGGGGCTGGAGTGGAGATCCCAAAGCCATCAGGCTGGAGCTGGAGCTCTGGGTTGTCTGCAATCTGTACGAGGCTCCTCTTCCTGCTGAAGCGTGGTGCAGAGGGTGGCAGCATAGTCTGTGGGGAGGCTGTGGCTATGGCTGCACCTTCTGTGTCCTCAGCTTGGCTCTGAAAGACTGCTCCTGTGCCCAGGGGCCCTGGCACTGGCCCAGGGGAGGGAGCTTCAGGTAGAGCTGCTGTCCTGGGGGCCATCTGGGAGACAGCCTTTGAAGTGGACTCCACACAGTAGTCATACACTTTGCCCTTCAACCTGGGCCCCGTCCCCTCCCCCTTCTGTATGACATTCTCCTCCACTTGGACCCGGGCTGTGGATGAGAAGGTGTAGGAGGCGTTGATGGTTCCCTCCTGCTGATACAAGGCCAGGCCCATGTCTGAGGCGGCCTGGATGGTCCCAGCCTCTTCCCTGCTGACCCCTGTCACACAGGTAAAGACCCAGCTCTGGTTCATGTCACCACTGCTTTCTGTGAGGGCCGTCCAAGGGTGGGGCGGTCTCGGCTCCCCTGGCCCTGGTTGCTCAAGGGGCCCACCGTCTGGCCACAGAGCAGGCCCACCACCTGCACAGCTGCCACCCACTGTCACAGCCAATCCAGATGAGGAGAGTGTGGGTTCACCACCCAAATGGGGCTGGTGGGGAGGGCTGGGCTTACCGCCAACGGCTGTTCCGGCTTCCTGGCCACAGCCGTGAGGAGGCACCTGCTCAGAGCCCAGGCACTGCCAATCCTGCTCCTCAATGGAGCCTTTTCTCACCAGCTCCTGGCCTTTGGAAGTGGCTCCTGCCAGGACACAGGGGTCTTCTGGATCTTCCCTGTTGTAGTCCAGTGATGCTCCAGCCCCCTTGCTGGCTTTACGGCGTCTTGGCCCTCTTTGCAGGGCCTCTGGAGAAGCCCCCTGGACAGCAGGCTGCCCTGAGCCCCCTGTTTCCTCCTCAGCCTTGGCCTTGGCATTCCTGCCCCCCTGTGGGACCAAGGCAGGCCTGGACTTGTACAGTCTGTAGGCTGCGGTTAGCAGGAGCAGTGCTGCTGCGGACAGCACCACCCTGCCGGTCAGCTGCATGTCCAAATGCCAGTCCTGGGCCTCTGCTCCAGAGGGGAGCATGCTCTCACACTACCTGCTGGGCCAGAAGAATGTCAAGCATCTGATTAATGATTGCCCAATAGGAAGAAGTTCCTGGATCCTATGGGAGGGAGGCCAAGACCGGTGCTGCCTCCAGCTGTCCAGCTGAGAAGTTGGAGCAAAGGTGACTTTGAGCTGGTAGAGGTGGCCACTGGGGCAAGAGATGGCCGATCTCAACGTCTGCCCTCCTTCAGTCCTTTTCAGGGAGAACGGGGGTATTCTGCCCAGGAGCCGAGCTTGAGATTGGCCACCAGAGACAGCTCTGGCCCACAGCTGGGGGATATTAAAAGTGTCCAGTTGGGCCTAGAAGAGGGAGACCGCTCCTAAGCAAACAGTCACCCGATGCCAGGAAATGCTCGAGGGTTGCTTATCCTTTGTGTGTACTTTGTTTTCTCTTTTGCAAATCCACCTGTTCCCAGGCTGGGGAAGCTTGGGTGTGGTTGGCCCTGGGATGGGTGGAGCCACAGCTGGTGTATGGGGAGGGGTGGGTCTCATCCCCTCAGAGGGCTCAGCATTGAACTGGTCAAGTGGGGACACAGCAGGGGAGGTTAAAGCTGAGGCTGCAGCCAAGCCACCTGACCCACTGCTGACAGCCTCTGCCCTGCTTCCCTGCCTGGCAAGTTTCAGAGAAACCAGTCTTGCTGAGAGGAGGTTTAGACAAACACATTGCATTAGTATCCACATGAGGGTGAGATACAGGGCATATCCTCTCCCTTAAAATGTTTCAGCCTCCTAGAGTGAGAGGCCGAGGGAAGATTGGCATCCCCAACCCAACCCCCAACCCCCATCCCCACCTAATAGCCAGATCACCCGTACCACATATCCTGGATCCACAACCTAGAGCTGCCACTAACCAGCTGTGTGACTTCAGCAAGTGACTTTGCCTCCTTTTCCATACTGAAAAGTGGGGGAATGACAGTTTTTCTACCTCATCAGGCTGAGGTGAGAACAAAACAGTTTAATACACAGAAAGCTCAGAGGACAGAGCCCCATGTCCTGAAAGCTCATTAAGTATCAGCCATACTGGGTCCCTCCTCTTCCTCCTTATCAGGCATTTCATCAATAGTATTGATGGCTGCCAGAAGTCAAACACACATCTGATTCTGCCCTTCCCCAAGCCAGTGCCTATGAGCCAGGCAGAAAAAGTCAGCAAGTGAGGACTTCCAGCTGACACGATGTGCCTTCCTTCCCTGTGCCATCCTTCCCAGGGTTCAGAGCAGCTGAGTGTGCAGACATGATGTGTTCACTCTCCACTTTTTAACATTGTCATCTAATTGAAAAAGGAAAATAAGAACCATACCCGGAGCTGAGGAAATATACCCAGCAGGAATCTGGCTCTAAAGGCTTTGACCCTAGAAGAAAATCCTGACTCCTTATCCTGAGTCCCTATGACCCTTGACGCAGGAGCCTTGGTTCACCCTTCTGAATCTCTGAGGTTTTCTGCTTAGTGTGCTGGGCTTGATCAATGCTCTGAAGGCCAGGCCTCCCCATCTTTGCTGGGTCAAGGTCAGGCCTCCTCAGTCTTTTTTCTGGTAACTCCTTCCTCCTAAACCAGCTGTTCTGTTATGCATCTGTTGTCTTCCAGGCCCGTCTGCCAACCTTTATCACATCTGTCACCGAGGGCACTATATACAGTGTCTGTCTTTGGCAGGAGAACTCCATTTTGACCCTTAGGCCTACCCAGGGCCCTGGGTAACTAGGATAGCAGTCAGCGCCAACTGTGCCTTTAATGTGGAATGGATTTGGGGTGGGGTCTGGATGAATCATGTCCGATAACCTCAGTTCTCCAGGGAGGTGCATGGTGCTTGACCTCGTTTGTCAGCATTGGAACTGGACGGCTGATGTCTTGTCAGTTTGTTTGTAAATTGGAACTTCAGCCCTCATTTGCAGAGTCCAGAGTTTTACAGGTCTGAATCCAGTGCACAGATATGACTTCTAGGAAAGCCAGGCCTCTGTGGCTGTCCCATGGTGACTGATAGAAGGGCGCTCCGTGGCCCCCTTTCCATCATGGCAAAAACAGTGATCAATAGTCTTGTGGGGACAGGATCTCTAGGGGGGTTTGTTAGAAGTACAGAGTCCCAGGCTCCACCCCAGACATTCTACTTCTGTGGGCTTGGAGTGAGTCCAGGGACCCTCCATTTTGAACAGTTACTTCAGAGGGTTCAGAAATGAAAAATAAGTTGGCTTTTCTACTATTTGCTGAAAATCTCTCTTTACCCTGGGGTGGGTGAGTTTTTCCAGATAATCAAGAATGGGAACAAAGTCTTGGATGCTGTGGTTGAGTAAAATCATGTAATCTTCTTAGCAACCTGAAGAGGTCGCTCTTGTCATCACCCATTTTACAGGTGAGGACGCAGAGGCTCCCAGGGAGCCTTGATTTAAAATCTTTGGCTGCACAGCCCATTATTTCTGGGAAGGAGAGGACAAAGCATTAAGAGTCATAAAGACAATTTTTCCAATGGGAAAATGACTTGTGGGCCACCGAGGTCCCCCAGTGGCAGTGGTACCATTCAGGAGTTTCAGGGCTCCTGAACCCTTGAGAAGGGAGACATAGATTGATGCCTTGGTTAAGACACGATGTGCTTTTCACCATCAGGGCTCCATGCTGCGCCGAGCTGTCTTCCTGTGGCTCCAGCTTATGTCCTCCGTGTGAGACATTAGGGTATTCATTTGGCCGGGTGTTTCTGTATGCTGGGTGTGCCTGGACCAGCTCTGAGGGGGAGGGAGGAAAGGTGGGAGAGTCTCATGAATTGGAAGGTACAGTCTCAGCCCCAGGGAAGTTATGCCCAAGCCAGAAGATGGAGCATCTATCTAAAATAGGATCAAGCCATTATGCATCACCAAGGAGAAATTAATGAGGTAGGTTTTCAGAATGGAAGTCAGGGCAGAAATTTCAGGAAGAGCTGTTTTGAATTGGGAATTGATGAAGGAAGGAAGGAAGCAAGGAAGGAAGGAAGGAAGGGGCATGGACTGACTGATTCAATAGCTATTTACCAGGCATTTCCCACCCACCAGGACATACTCCGGGGTGCAGTGAGATTGGCTGAAGGACAGTCTCATGGAGACCGTGGTCCAGTCAGGGAAGATGCTAGACCTCTTTAGGTGGTGGAGTTTGATGATGCTGGTTTGTAGGCAAGGAGTACCTGTACCTGGCTGGGACAAGAGAGAAGAGAGGACATGCAATGTGACAGGAGCTGGACAGTCTGCATGGGGACATATGAAGGATGAGTACAGGAGGATATGAGAGCCATACAAAGCAAGGAGACCCTCAGATTGGAACCTGGGGCCGGGTACAGGGCGGGCGGGTAGGAGACAGAGGGCCCTGATTTGAATCCTGTCCTGGCCCTTCTGTGACCTTCCCATGTTTCGGGGCAGAAGTAACATTTGCAAATCAGCTGAGCACAAGGGACCTGCCCCAGCCGGGCTTCCTGCACCTGTTGTCCACTCCAGTTCCCAGCCAGCGCAGTGCTGAAGACGTGGTTTGAAAGCATGGGTTTCCTGCTACTCGGGTAGAGGGACCCTATCACTCGAGGAGATGAGGCCATGAGAAGGAATTGTCACAGTTCTTAAGAGGAGGGGCACAATGTACCACACAGGGCCACCAGGAGGCACTGGGATGGGTCTGAAGACAGAGGGAGAGAGGGAAGCGAGTGTGAGGGTCCTTACTGGGGTTTTTGGGAAGGAAGGAGAGGCAGGGTGGGCAGGTTTAGGGTTGGCTCTTTAGAATAATGTGAGCTGGCTTGGGGTTGCCTTTAGTTGTCAGGTAGCGGGCTCTGGGCCGGGGAATACTGGGCCAGGGTGTAAGGGCTCTGTGAACCTTTGAAGGGTGTGGGCTCTGAATGGGCTGGTTTGCAGGTGAAAGGTGCCTGGGTAAGTCATTTGCTGTCTCTAGACCCACCTGGGAGGTAACCCTGAGGCTAGGGCATCCAAGATCTTGAGCATAAGAAACCACAGTTACTGTAGAGTGAGAAGAACAGAAAACAGAGAACGGGGGCTTCAAGTTCGCAGAGGCAGCTTCTTCCTTGCAGGGCATGAAAAACCGAGCTTTTGGGTTTACTTGAGTTTTTATTCCTTGTGCAGGTGAATGCTACACAAACCCCATAAATTACAGCTTTTTTTTTTTCAGTCTCTGTTTGGAAAAAGTGAAATGAACAGATGAAGACAGGAGCGAAATTAAAAGCTAATTGGAAGACTATATTGGGCTTGTGTGGATGTGTCTGCCCGCCGCCAATCCGGTTGCTCTGCGTGGCCAGGATAAATTGAGAAGTCTTCTGTGGGCTCAGGGGGGTAAACAATCACAGGGTGCAATGCGTGCTGTGCAAATCAGCAGGCCATCTTGGCTTGATTACCTTTCATTGCTCCGTGGCAGGGTGTCGTGCTGGTCTGTGCAGGTTTGTGTTTCCCAAGGTAGAGGTGGCTGGTGAGGCTTCCAGTGGAGGCTGGGGGAGGTGGACGTGGGGCTCTAGAGGGGAGGTGCAGCAGAGAGGGGTGGAGATGCCAGAGAGGGAGACCTGGCAGCTGTGTGACCTTTTAACATACACACACACACACACACACACACACACTGACACGCACGCTCACGCCTGGCCATGTGAGAAGGTGTGTATCCTTTGAGTTCAAATAGGGCATTGATAAATGGATCCTGTTTAACTGATGAGGAATCTGAGGCAAAGTGAGAGAGAGAGAGAGTTGAGAGAGAGAAAGAGAGAGAGCAAGACAGTCCAGTCCAACTGGGGCATCTGTCTGGGTCTGGGGTGTTTACAAGGGGATCAAGGGTACATTCCCACTCATTTGCAAGGTGCCCAGTACATATCTGGTGGTGGTTTTTGCACACTTACTCAGGGCTCTTCCTTGGATGAACTCTTCTTGATCCCCTGTGGGCATCCTGGTGCTGTATCCCTGACTGGTACTCACTGCGTGTCCCTACCAGACTGTAAAATGCTGACATGGTTCCCATCTGGTTGGTATAGCCACTGCCTCGA